CCACACCTCATTCCCTTTCACCATCTATGAATTTCTGTCCCCTTAGATAAAACAAGGCAAACTTTACAGAACTGTGCTATCAATTACATCAGTGGAGCAATTTGAGTTATACTGTAAAATAAGTTTTCTTGTTTAAAAAGAAACAAAAAAAAAAAACCCTGTATGGATTAGTTCAAACAGATTTACAGCACAGCCTAACAGTTGTGGCAACAGAAGAGTGATGAACTCCAACAGTTGCTTCCTTAAAATCCAGTTTTAAAATGGATTGATGCTGTGACATAAAAGAAAATATCATTGGAAAAGGAGAAGAATGAAAAGCCAGGGAAGAGAATACCAGCACTCAACTCCATTTTTCTTCCTCAGTAAAACTAAAGATTTGAAAGAAATGCAATTATTTTAACAACTCAGAACTTCTGCACTATTTGCTAAAAAGATCCCTACATTTAGGTAGAGAAGATCATTTCCAAAATAGCACAAACATACAAAAAAACCCCCACAAACTCAAACTAGAGTTACCTCCATCAAAAGTTAAGAGGAAACTAAAGCTTTGTTGCACAGCAGATCCATGACAAAAGAGATACATCCGGACAGAAGCACCCTTCTTGTGAGAACACCCACCTCACGATGGCCATAAAGATATGGCCAAAAGAGGACAGTGGGCTGAAACAAGATGAAGGTACTGACAAGTAACAGCAAGACCAGACAGGAGACAGAAATCCCACTTCAGTATTCATCCCTTCCTTTACAGGTTTTAATCTCATATAGGATAGTACACTTTGGCTAAACAACAATTCAAAGAAATCTTAGGAAGATCTGGTCATGATAACTGACAATAGGTAAACAAGACTGCTTTAAGAAAACTAAGACACAGCCGACATTGCACAAGCTTTCCTCTATAAGCTCAAGGTTCAAGATGGTGGTAGTAAAGAGACAGCAAGCTCAAATAAATGACAGCTTAGTGATCCTAAATAAGTACAGGATTGCACAAGCCCCTAAAGAAAAAAAGATTATAAAATCCTGCTAACACCAAGGAGAAACAACCGGTAACACTGAAAAGGAACAAGAAGTAAACAAGAATTCTAGTTCGGAAGATAAAGAAATAGATCATAGAAGATGCTACACCTGGGGAAGTGAAAGAACTTTGTGCAACAACGGAATACCAAAATGAAAATTAGAAAGAAACTGACAAAGAAGTACTCCAGTTCTAATTGCCTCAGCAGGCAAAACAGCAGTGGGGCAACAGAAAGAATTAGCCCAACTGGAATAAAGTCTGGTATGGTTGCATTAAGTTTAATTTAACATGACTCAATAGATAAAGCTGATAAATTTGGTAAAATAAGAAGAAAAAGCGGAAAAAGGCTGGAGGGATAACCACAGACAGAAGTAGTGGCAAATAAACAATAATCAGAGAGTAGAAGGCAGTGCTATCCCTGTAGGGAACGCTCACTTAGGAGTTGGATTCCATGTGTTGTGGGTTCCTTCCAACTCAGAAAATTCTGTGGCACTACAGACATCCAGGGAGAATAACACATCATGTGGTAGAGGATTACATATGCTATTGAAAGCAACAGAGACCAAGGAAGTTGAGAAAGATGTGGAATCCTTGCACCTAGGGCACAAGAAGCCTGTAGAGATATAAACTGAAGACAATTCCAGCATAACACGGAATCTGGACTGGAATTGATTTAATATGAAGAGGAAAGAGTGCGTGACAACAAACATACATTGCTCTGTTCAGGAATTTGGAAAAGAAGGGAAATAGACTAGAGTGGTGTTATTTTTAAGAATGGAGAATGGCAACTCAGAATAAAATTAGGAAGGGAATAAGATGGCAGCAGGATGTAAAAACCTGAAATTTGAAATTAAAACAGAAAAACTGAATGAATGGGGCTTTGGGTAGTTAAAAAGGCAGAAAAAGCAGAAAACAAACATGAGACTACATCTCTGTAAGCAGCAATCAATAGTGCTGAATAAAGGTAAACATGTCAATTCTAATCAGTTTTTCTCTGGAAACCTTTAGATTCTGCCGGGGAAGAGACATAGAAAAAGGCCTAAGATAGAGGCCTTTAGAGAGCCAGCAAAGCAAAGGAACTGGGAAACATATATAGGGTGGAAAATGGCTAATTGAGTATGAAATAAAAGCTATGAAAAAAACAACAAAGAAATCTATCCAGTTCAACAGTCAGTCACAGGTAAATGAATTATCAGAAATGAGAGGAGAAGGTGGTAGTCTTGAGAAAGGGACTTGGAGATGCAGTAATCAGATAAGATGGTTGTGATGAAATTATCACAGAAGTGATAATTTCTGTCAGAAACAGAAACGGGGATTAGCAGATGAAAATCAAAAAGGCTAGAGCGCTGAAAAATAAACTTAATGAGAAATCTACTTGAAAAACAAAGTCATAAGGAATGAGGGTGTTCATGATAAGAGGAGAGATTATGTCAAAGACCAATATGAAACTACAAAGGGAGAAGCAAAAAGTAGGTGAGGAAATGTGAAGGAATGTCTGATGGACCCCTGCCCAGGAAAAATGTAAGAGGAGGAAATGCAAAGACCATGGTAGATGAGGAACACAGCATTTTTTTCATGATAAAAGGGTTGATAGGACAGACATTAGGACCTAATGTAGTGCTGTATGATATACAGCAAGGTTTCTGCAATCCATATACCAGACAAAACTGCTGATAAAATATTCAGCAACTAGCCTTTGATTTGGATTTCCTGAGGAGACACACCTTTGCTTACAGTTAGGAAATTAAATAAACTGTCATTCTTTATACTTCAGTCATATGTATATGGGGTACAAAGCTCAATTGTTGTACTGTATCTTGCCATACATAAGGAAGGCAAATGAAAAGTGTACTCTGAACATCATACAGCCTAGCAGCAGATCACAAATTTAACTAAAACCTAAAATCAGTCAGCTGAAACCCATGAACAGGCTAGATATGCAAACCAATTCACCTCTAACATTACCCACAAATAAGGCTGCATTTTCCTATAAGATAAGAACAGTGAACTGCAATTCAAATTCATACAGAAGAGCTAGAAAGGGCCTAGAAAACACTCCAAAAAAAGCAATTTGGATAGAAATCACAGAAAATAAGGTTGGAAAAGACTTGAAAACATTACTTCAAAACATCAACTTCACTCTCAGTGCTCCAAGTCTGTATCAGCTTTCAATATGCCACTCCTGACAGATGTTTATCTAACATGCTTTGGTTTTTTTTTTAGCAAACCTCAAGCAATACAGACTTCACAATATCCTCTGGCAGTCTACTGCAGTGACTGAACAATTTCAAAATCTGCCCCAAACATTTAGAATATATCTTACTCTCTTAATTCAAACCATTTGTTCATGCACCATAAGGCTGATTGCCTTCCTCTTTGCAGCACATTTGCTATACAGAAAGGATGTTTCCTATTGCAACTGGACAGCTCTCCGCAGTGTTCTGCATTGGAAGGACAGAGCTCTTATATAAAAATAAAAGTATGCCTGAACGGATGAGCTACAAAAACTCATCTCTGTGATGAGTCATCTGGGACAGCAGAAACGGACTTTCCCACATAAGCAGTCTGCTGGAAGCACAATTCAGCCACTGCAAGTGATAAAGCCAAAGGAAACTAACATTTACAAGCGAGCAAAGCACAGCCAAGGCATCAGTCGTGATCGTTTGTACTACAGCCTTCAGAAAAGAGCCACGCAAAAAACCAGCATAGCTTTGGCTGTGTTGTTCAAAGGCAAAGTTAAAATGGGAAGCAGAGCCGCAAACTGGAGCATTGGGTGGAGCTCCCGATTGTGCCTTGCCTGGCAGCACCACTCTGGGGGAAAAAAAGGAGTCAGTACGGGCAAAACAGAGCGAAGGGGGAGGGGGAAGAAAGAAAAGCCGACCTCGGAAACAAGAGATGTGCACGGGACCAATCAAACACAGGGAAATGGATGTAGGGAGGCACCTGAAGCCTTGGCCGGCCATAGAGTGAGGAAGGAGGCTGGGATTAGGACTGTCTCCCTTTTCAGAGGCAGTGGACTTGAGGGCTGCCCTGGGCCTGATGACTTTTCTCCCACGGAATAGCTTCTCTCTGTCGGGTGAGGTAGTAGGGACCTCAAAGAACCTGCTGCAGGGAAGGGCAGGGCATGCAGGGCTATCTAGGGAGAGGTACTGAGGTCGGGGGGAGCTGGGGTGGAGATCACAGGAAAGTGGCGCAAGGCACTACAAGGATGGCAGGTGAGAACTGGGAGGTGTGCAGCTGCAGCCATGGCAGGGAAGTGGAGCAGGGAATGCCACAGATTGCAAGGCCAAAGAAGGGCTGTGGAAGAAGGGGCAAGGTGAAAGTGATCCACAGGAGAAGCAGCACACAGAACAGTACGCAGAGGGTGGAAGTGCATAGCATGGTAAGGAGCAAGGCTATGGTGGGGGGTGAACAGCCATGAGCGGGAAAAGCACAGCTACAGAGGGAGCAAAAAGGTGCACAGTTCATGTGCATGAAGGCTTTGGGTGAGTGGATGTATGGGGTGGTACCCAGCCACGAAACAGCAAGGCTACGGGAGGGGAAAGCAAGGTGGTCGCAGTCACGGGAGGGCAGAGCTGTTGGTGGAGGAGCGTGAAGTGAGGAGGGAAAGCAATGGGTTCCCAGCCACGAAAGAGTGTGGTTACAGACTGGGACGCAGGAGAGTGCGCAGCCACGGGAGAACGGCGCTACAGGTGTAGCGAGGGGGATGCACTGCCACAGGAAAGCGGGGCTCCGTGGAGGCAGCTAAGGGGTGCTTAGCATGAGGCAAGCGGTGCTGAGAGGGGCACAAGGGGATGCACGGCCGCCAGAGAGCGCGGCTGCGGAGGGGACAAGCGTCTGCGCAGCCACAGGACAGCGACGTGGGCAGACCCGGGGCCAGGGGGAGGCACAGCCGCGGGGCGGGCAGCGCGGCCAGGGCGAGTTGTGGCAGGGCCCTGCAGCGGAGGGCGGCGGGGTCAGAGAAGGGAGGGGGACACAGGCCACTCACCTGCGCGGCAGAGCTGCAGCAGCCCATGGCGTCCGCTGGTCTCTGCCCCGTGGGTGCCTGCTAGGCATCCACTCTCCGCGACTCCCCCGCCCCGGGCGGCGGCGCGGCGCGGGGCGTACGGAGGGCGGCACTGAGGAAGCGGCGGGGACCGCGGGGCCCGGTCAGACGAGCGCGGCTGCACCACAAACGCCGGCACGGCGCCCCTTCATCCTCCTCCCCCCGAGCAGACGCGCGGGGGAGGGCGGAGCCTGGAGGGGGCGGGGCTTGTCGGGGGCGGGGCCAGAACACTGCGGCGCGGGGGGTACCTGCCCGGCCGGCGGCCCCGCCCCCGCGCCGCGGCCGTTTCCGGTGTGGTGATGGCGGCAGGAACTGACCGAGCTCAGGGCTCGTCCTTCGCTCACCACTCGCCCTGCTGCAAGGTGCGCGCCGCGGTGGGGACAGCTGCGTGTGGAAACCAAGCTCTGATCAGCGGGGCTGCCCAAGAGTCTGAGAGCTCGCCCGCTGAGAGGAAGAAAATACCTGATCGTATGGCCTGGTAGTACATAAGCATTTGCAGGCGAGAATCTGTAGTAGAATAAAGCACCATTTCTACACTTCTTTTAATGCTTCGAGGGATAGTGATTCAACCACTTTTCTGGGCAGCCTGTTCCAATGCCTCACCGGCCTTATGGTGGAAGAATCTTTTGTAGTATCCGATATAAACCTCCCTGGGTGCAGCCTGAGGCCAGCTTTTCCTACCTGAGAGGAGGGGCCAACCCCCACCGCGGTGCAACCTCCTGTCAGGGAGTTGTAGAGAGTGATAAGGTCACTCCTGAGCTTCATTTTCTCCAGGCTAAACTATCCCAGCTTCCTCAGTCACTCCTCATAGGACTTGTGCTCCAGACCCTTCACCTGCTCCATTGCCCTTCTCTGGACACACTCCAGCACCTCAGTGTCCTGCAGGGCCTGGAGTTGTACACAGAACTTGAGGTGTAGCCTCACCAGTGCCAAGTATGAGGATTCTGCTGGCCACACCATTGCTGGTACAGGCCAGGACACCGTTGGCCTTCATGCCCACCTGGGTATGCTGCTGTATCATGTTCAGGCTCTGTTCGTGTTCAACATCCCTCGGCTCTCTTCCACATGCAGCTTTCAGCCACTTTTACCCCAGCCAGTGGCACTGCCTGGGATTATTGTGATCAAGGGCAGGACCTGGCACCTTGTTGAGGCTCTTACCACTGGCCTTGGACCACCAATGCAGCATGTTCAGATCCTTCTGCAGAACCAGCCTACCCTCAGTGTGTCAGTATTCCCACACAATTTGGTATCATCTGCAGAGTGACTAAAGGGGCACTTGATCCCCTCGTCCATGTATATTGATATATAATATATTACATAGGCCCCAGTACTGAGCCATGGGGGGCCAGTGACCTGTTGCCAGCTGAATGTGGCATCATTCACCACCACTCTTTGGGCTCAGCCTTCCAGACAATTTTTTATCCAGCAAACAACACACACATCCAAGCCATGAGCAGCCAGGTTCCCTAGGAGAATACTATGAGAGAGAGAGTCAAAGGCTTTGCTGTGGTCCAGATAGACAACACCCACAGCCTTTCCCTTGTGCACTAAGGAGATCACTTTGTCGTAGAAGGAGATCATATTGCTCAATGAGTATCTGACTTTCCTAACCCCATGCTGGCTGGGCCTGATTGTCCTGCACATTCTGTGACCAAGAATGTCCAGAACTCGTGGTCTGTTCCACAATCTTCCTGGGCACTGAGGTCAGGCTGACATGACCTATAGTTTCCCAGATCCTCCATCCTGTCCTTCTTGTAGTTGAGTGTCACATTGGCTAATCTCAGTCCCTTTTAAGGTATGTTTACTGGTCCAGCAGTTGTGTTTGAGCACAACCTAAACATATGAAGCAATACTCTGTATAAAGTTTGGGGTTTTTTTCTGAATCTTAACTCAGTAGCAGAGTTATCTACTATTCTATCAATATAGTAGAATATCCATGATTAGAAATAGTGTTGCAATGACTTAAATATAAACTGATCCTTTTACAGGCAGAATGAGGCAAAAGAGACCTTGTGACTAGAAAAGGAGTTTTGTTAGGCTTGCAAGAAAACTGAGAAACTGACATGTGGGTGAGTTGTGAATCACACTGGGGTTTTTTTAGCTCTTGTCAGTTTAATGGCAAGTAGAATCATGGAATCATATTGGTTGGAAAAGACCTCTAAGATCATTGAGTCCAACCACAACCTGGCACTACCAAGTCCACTGCTAAACCATGTCCCTTAATGCCACATCTTCATATCCTTTAAATACCTCCAAGTTTGGTGACTCATCAGTAGCATCACAATTTTCTGATTTTGTAGTATCTGGTTAAAATAGTGCTTTACCTTTTTGCATGTATATTGCTATTATTTTCATTGTTCCACCTCATTCTATCCAGATACTTATCTGGTGTTCAAAGATGTGGCCATGAAAGAAATGTTTTGCAGGAACACTCTCTAGCAGGAATGATTATTTTGCGACTGACACAATAATTGATAACAAGAAATTCGTAGCCAATTCTTGTGTAACTTTGGAGCCATCAGAATCTCTGTTCCTCCATTTTGTCCTTTATAAAATTGACTTTTGTCTCAGTGTTTCTCTTTTCTGTTTGTTTGGGTATCAGAAGAATTATGTCTGTGCCATAGATGTTATTTAGTCAGTCTCTTAAAAAGCCCAAATTAATTTTTTTTAAATAGTCTACTCATTTAGGACTTTTGCTTCAATAGTTTCATTTAGGACCTCAAAAGGTTGTCATGGAAATTAAATTCTGCCTCCTACTTTTTTGCATGTAGACTAAACATATTCAGCATGATTATCAGAAGAGAGTAATGCATTAAAAACACTTGACATTAAAAATGTCTGCCCCCCAAATTTGTGGACTCTTAAAACCCTACATTCTAGCCAATAATGAAGAACTTTGTGCAGCTGCAGAGAGGCAATAATAACTTTATAGTGATTAAAAAATGCCAGTCCTTCATTGGCTAGGGGTGCCTTTATGAAAAAGCTTGTAAAGACATACCAGCTGTAGCGTAGGTAACTGGGGTTTAGTGCAGATATATGACAACTGTAGAAATTATTTGAACAGATATGAGTGTTAGAAATAATCTCAGAATCTCTGCCTCTGGACTAAGGAGATTAATTATGTTTTTGGTAGATGCAGTAATAGCAGCAGCAGCAGTTGCCTGACTGTCACTAGTTTTACTGTACTTTGTCTGGTCAGTCACACAAAGGGGAGGAAAAGTTAAAAGATTCTGGTTTATTCATAATTATATGAGCTTTTATATATATTTGGATTAGCATTTCATGAAGGAACTGAACTGAGGCTTGCTGAATCTTAGTTCAGTAATACAGAAGTTGAACTTCAAGCGTATGTCTAAGTGCATTTTTTTAATTGGGCTTTTTTGATACCTTCTGAATCTGAATGTAATAGGCTCTAAGGCATGGTTACATCACAAGCTGCTAAAGAGCAAATCTGACTGCCCCAATTTACTGTTAATGAGAATCTACCTATTTTTCCATAACAGATTTGAGTCTGCCTTTCTGCTCTCGCCAAGAGCTTTACCTGTATTTTCATTTCATTGCTAGATTGTAAGTTATGTCCCAATTGCTTCTATTCTGAGAAGGAAGCACTAATTATATGGTAATATTTACCTTTTCATTTCTCACCAGGTGCAGAATCCTGACCTTGCTCAGCCGTATTTAAAAACCTAAGGATTTTACAAAGTACAATATAATCTATATCTTTTGTTCCATATTAATTAGAGAAATACCTTTAAAATTGTATTAGATAAAATTCTATCCACATTGATATATTCTTAAGTATGAATTTTGGGAAGGAATTTTTGAACAGGCTCAGTTTTGAACAAAATACTCAATCAAGACGTAGGCAAAACTTGGCCTTGCCATTAATGAAATGGGGAGCAATGCATTGTGCAGACTAAAAACTGAATATTGCACCAGCAAGGTGTTGTTGCAGTCCGTGTGTTTGCATCCTTCTTCTAATTGACAAACTCTGCTTATTATCATTCTGCTGACTTCTTCCACCTACTAATAAACCTGCATCTATATGTGCTTGGCAACCACTCTGAATTTTTAAAAATCCCATCCAGTGTGCTTAGCTTTCATATTCCTGAGGTTGTTCTTATTTGATTTTGGCCTTTTTGGTTGTTTTGGTTTTATGGTTTTCAAAATGTATTTAAATACAGAACCACATGTATTCTCTCCATAATGTGCCTAGTGAATGGACTTAGCTGTCATACACATGTATCGATGCAGGATTAGGGGTGATTCTGCTGATTTCAGCAGAATTGTAATGGAAGTGCATCATGAGAAGGAATTGCAACAAACACATGGCAAGTAGGCTGTCAGCCTGTCTCTATGAGCAGGGGATAAAGCCCACTGACTTATTCAGACCCCTGTGGTCCTACATATCTCAGAACTCACGTGAAACTGATCATCTTTCTGAAAACTTAAACCATGCCATTGCACATTTTTAAGGGTTGTGGAACTACAGCATTGAGGCTTCTGTCAAATCACACAGGACACCAGTAACAAAACAGAGAACTGAAGCTGTATGTTATAAACTCCAGCTTCTATACTGAAAATCCTGTCAGTTGCGAATTTTTGTCAGTCAAAATAAAAACATTCAAGGCATTCTTCTTTGAATTAGAATAGTAGGATTCTTGCAGTCTTTTTGATTGCTGACTAAGAAAATATGAACAATGCTCAGTAAGTCTGAGTTCTTACCAGTTAAGGCTAAGATTTTCTTCTTGCTGCATGTGTGACCACAGAAGAAGAGGTCAATTCAGTAAACTCTCTAAAAAAATCAGAAAACCTATTGTGATTCTACTTCTAATTGGAGCCCCATAAATGAGTCATATCAGGTTTGTTTCAATTTAAAACTGGAAACTCCAAGGAGAGAGAAAGAGCATAGGGCTTTTTGAATGAATCAGGAAGGTGAAATTTTCTTTCTCCAGTCCTGAAACATTTGGTCCATTATACTCTTAGAGATGTAACTTTCTGGTGAGAGGATAGAGGTGTACAGTGGAGATCCTGTCTGTAGGAGGCCATCAAAAATATGCAGGACTCATTAGAAGATTATCATTTTAATGTG